AGATCACATCAGCAAAAAATCACAAAAAAAAAACATTCAGAGATCAAGTAACGGGACAAAGCTTTTCAACGGTTATAAACGAAAAATCACGATTTAACGGTTATTTTAACTCCGATTTTGATGATTTTTTATAACTACACTCCTTGACCCTATATGAATACAATGAATGAATTCGATCTTCAATTTAAAATATTTACACAAGTGGATACCACAAAATCTTATGTTATACTTAATGAAAGTATAAATAAACTCTAAGTGTTAGTCAATCTATTGTTTTACGAATTCTCCAAAACTAATTTCAATGATCCAAACCGTCAAAATTGTTTGTATATGCTTGGAGATCACATCAGCAAAAAATCACAAAAAAAAAACATTCAGAGATCAAGTAACGGGACAAAGCTTTTCGACGGTTATAAACGAAAAATCAAGATTTAACGATTATTTTAACTCTGATTTTGATGAATTTTTACAGCTACACTCCTTGACCCTATATGAATACAAAGAATGAATTTGATCTTCAATTTAAAATATTTACGCTAGTAGATGTGGATATCACAAAATGTTATGTTATAATTTATATACTTAATAAAAGTATGAATCAACTATAATATTAATAATTATATACATTAATTTAATAATTTTATATCCCTAAAAAGTAAAAACTATAATAATTATATAGATGTAGGTGTAAATTGAATACAATTTCATGATGATCGATGTAAATTGAAGATTTTGTAAATGGAGGTGTAAACTTTTGAGAAAGACTTACAATCTTAAAAACAAAAACTCTTTATCCTTGCACATTTAATATTTGTAATATATTAGTAGTGTATGTATTATTTTTTTTATTAGGTTTTTATTTTTCGAGTGTAGATATAGTACTTGAACGAGAAATGTTTTAATGTTTTGAAGTAATATTTATGTGGCAATGTGTGGTATGTGCAAATTTTAAAAAAATATATTTTTTTCTTAACGGGTCATAATGGGTCATAACGGGTCGGGTCACTTTACCCGTTGGGTAAAGTGACACGACCTGTTAAGGACCCGTTAAGATAACGGGTGTGACACGACACGACCCGTTAAGATAACAGGTGTTACACGAAAACGACACGAACACGATAGACACGACCCGTTTGCCAGGCCTAGTGGTCACACAGGGTTGGGCATGGGTGCACGGGAAGCTTTCCCTTTTTTTTTTTTTTTTTTTTTTTTTTTTTTTTTTCCTTTTCTGATTGGCTCTCACCCTCTCCCTCTAATTCCAATTGGTTCCTTGACCTTATACTTGATTGGTCCTTCTTATTTGTGCCTAAAATCTGATTGGCCACTTTCCCACAAGGTGAGAATTCAAATAATTTATAACTAAACTTTAAATAACCATTTTCAAACGTCCATGACTATACTGTTATAATCCGGACTCGCAAACGGCTTTCGCCTATACGTTCACACCAACGAGTACTATGATGATATGTTAAAAGAATAAGTTATACGTCTCTCTAGACGATGGTCAACGGAAGTCAAAATCTTTGCCTCTAGGGCATTTTCATAAATTTAAGTTTTTAAAATAAAATAAAAACGTAAAATTTGGAACAGGTTGTCACAAATGTCGATTGATTGCACACTCTATATAATAATAACAAAATGTGGCTAGTATATATGTAATATCACATGAAAAATAATTTACCTACAAAATAAATAAATGTTTTTGGCCAATTGATTCAAAATTAATTAATTACATATTATTTTACATAAAAATTTAGATAAATTATTTGCACGCATATATATAATTTTAAGAAAATATGCCTAATACATACATGCAAAATAATTTACCTACAATGATTGTCAGACAAATAAAATAAATGAAACATATGATGGTAAGAGAACTATAAAGTAGATAATTTTATAATAATAAGGCACTTATTTCCCATAATTATGGTGGATAATTAAATTCATTAACATAATTAGAGTGTTGTGGCACAATTGTAAATAGTTTGAAAATAATAGGTATTTATTTGTTTACATGACAGTCTACTTCAATCTTGGGTTTTATTTAGATGTTTAAAAAGAGATGGGTTTTTCTTAACGAAATAAGTGTTGCATGGACTTATATCTAAAGAACCAAAAAAAAAAAAAAAAAAAAAAATTAGCTATCAAACGGCTTCTAAAACTTTAGAAGAAAATAAAGTCGTACTAAAATTTAAGACTAAAAATATTCTACACTTTCAAGTTTGAAGTGATTTCCAAAATGGGCCATGATGTTTTAATTTTCTCATATAGCATCTTAAGGTTTTAAGATTTTATCGATTTACACCTTTTATCGTCAACTAATATGACTTGCACGTCATCAATTCAAATAATCATGTAATCAATCAAACCAAAGATACAAATTAATACAATTTCAATACCTTATGGTGTAATATGAGACATTTGAAACTCTGTGACAGTGGGTGAGAAACACGAATGAGGATCCGCTCCGGATCTTCTTTGTGAAGATGCATCCATTTATCGTCCATATTGCAGTTAGTTTTCGTCAGGTTCTGTTTATATTTAATTTTAAATAAAACGATTTACAATGATTTCTGACCGCAGGATATACGATGAACTGATGTGATTGGAAGATTTCCTGGATCCTCACAAAGATGATTCATTCGAGAAACACCGCTTGCTTTGAAAAATAAACCATGCGTCACCAGATGAAGAAAACTACATTGTCAAGAATCTTTCCATTTGGTCTGTTTATCCAAACTGCTGCCAATTTCCAACTTCTTACTTAATTAATAAAAGTCACGCTTTGGGAAAAAAAAAAAAAAAAATTAATAAAAGTCACTATCTGCTTTCCAATGGAGAGCTAGCTCCCATTTGATGCTTTTTTAAAAACTAATTAAGGAACTAATTAAACATTTCAAACATAAACAACTGGACTATCTCGATTAGCAAGACAATTATGTGCCCACCCCTAACCACCACCCTTATCAGTTTCATCGTGTAATCTACCTCAGGCAGTGACATCACTGCATTTAACTTTCATATTCCTGTCCAATTTCTATTTTATTTTTTTCTTTAATATTGTCGATTTTTTATTGATGTATATTTTAAAAATACAAGAAGCACATTGGTAAGTGAGAGGTCTTAGGTTCGATTCTCGCCAAACGTAAGTTTGAATCACATTATTGCTAGCACATTATAAGGCTTAACCAACTCACACTACAAAAAAAATGAGCACTGCACACAAAAAATTATATGTGCCTTTTGAGGCCAAAAAGCACCAACATTTGTGCTCATAGACCAATAGCAACAGTGCAGCAACTAAGTTTGTATCTGTGCCCTCTATGGGCGTCACCATTACTTATAGCACACAATATGATGTTTTGTGCCCAAAGCTAAGCACAAATACAACCTTTATTGTGTCTTACCTCTAATAAAGGCTACTGAATGTATGGTGTAAGATGGGCACAATTGCTATTTTAAAGGCTCAGATTGCTGTATAAATGTTAAAGCAAGGGCACAACTTTAAAATTGTGCCACTATTATATTTTAATAAATACAATAAAACTCCAGCACAATTAAAAATTTGTGGCATAATTGGATATTTTTATTTAAACATGGAAATCATCAGGTTGCTCATAGAACCTAATTTCCACCTAAATTTAGAAACTTACAAATCATCCATTACAAACTAAACATAAATCAACATTAGCACTAAAATAGTGAAGTTAATATATTACATAACCCATGTTCTCGGCTAAGACCGATTCATGCAACCTAACAATACAACCCATCCAAATGTTAAACCAAAAAATACATGTTATCCTATGCTGGACATACCCGGGATTCTCTATATACAACAAAATATAACATATCCAAGCTTGTATCCCCAAGTCAAACGTACTAATGGTTAAACTAGCAATATATAAACAAAATACACATCTACAAGGGCTGCTTGATGACAACTAACCAGTATTCTCACTTTGGCAGTCCTCATGCATCATAGCACTAGAAATTGGAGGTCCACACTGCACATTCTTGTCATTTCCACCTTCTAAACGCGTTGAAATCTGAGCGTGTGAGCTTCCACACCCTTGCTGCTGATATATATATCTTAGAATGACATTCCACCCCCTCCTGCCAATATCCTTTTAGAATGACATTCCTACCCATTTGCAAAACAAATTACAAACAAATCATAAGAGTATCTTCATTCAGAAAACCTGACTTCTAAACATGTCAATGTCCAAAATTCTCCCATTTTCAACATGCATTTTTCAAGAAGAGACATACACTGGCACACATACAATGAAAATCATATGAAAAAAAGAGCCAAGAAATCACATAAAAGTATCAATCTTTGAAATTTTATTTTCCTTTCCCCCATCACAGCCAAAAAATAAAGGGTAAGTCTACAAATATCAATTTTCATGCCACAAATTTGTGATACATTACAATCTAAAATCACACACATACATCATGCATATACATACATCAGAGGAAAGGAAGCAAATATTTTCAACAAACGCGATGTAATTCCTTACCTGAGAAAGGTTTGGCCCGGTGATGTGTACTATCCAAACTTTGCACATCCAGAAAGTGAAAAATATGACCTACCAAGGAAATCAGAGCATGCATGTGTTAGGTTTATCATTTGTCTGTCAAACTGTGCAGTAGAGACCAAAATCAAAGATATTGGTGTGTTTTACCTTTGAATTTTCCAGTTTCCAGACTGATTTGCAGTGGCGGACTGCATACGAAGTTGCAGGCCTCCTTGATTTTCTTTTGCTTAGCAGGAGAAAATGAGGCTCTGGGTTTATTGGGGAGATGATCGAAGCCTATGGAAAACTTATACAACTACAAAATGGAAAATTTAAGAATAACAAACAGTATTAGGCATAAAAACAGACTAAAATGTAGAATCAATCCAGAAACTGGTAATGCCTTATTCAAGGGTTAAAAGGGGAGTTAAGAATAACAAACAGTATTAGACCTTCCAACCCAACATCTATTCACATATATAATTGCCCCTAGCTACACCAACACGAATCCAAAATCACATATATTCTCTAATGTAAACTAATTCATAGCTAATTAACATGTTCAAATCCTAATTTTCTCATATGATTATGTACCAATAGGATTAGGCGAATCTGAAGAAACCCAAAATTTCCAGTCAAAGGAAAATTAATACAACCTCTGGAAAAAATAATCAGGAGATAAAAACTCAAATACCAAAAAATAGAATCAGTAAAATAATCATATAAATTGTGATTTAGATGAAAATATAGGAGGGTAAAGATTGGAAACGCACAGAGAGGGAGGCCTTGTATTTCTGCCAATCTGAAACCCAATCCTCCTTGTCCCATTGGCCCTTGACAAACTTCTTCGATTACCACCTACACAAAGAGACAATTATCTCTTGAACCCTTTTCAGAAAATGAAAAATGGATTTGAGAGAGAGAGAGGAGAGAGAGAAATTAGGGTTTAAGAGCTAATTAAAGGAGATTGCATTGTGTTTATTTTTTCTTTTGTTTTTGTTTTAAAACTCACTCTTAATCAGGATTTCCTCTTTATCGTGTTTATAGTCTTTATTGTATATTATGCCTACATTATATCCCCATTTCAGTAAGAAATTGAAATCGGAATCAATATGCTTTTTGAGTAAACATGGTGTTTTCATTACATCTTTTTCATTAAATCTTCCATAGATTAATACACCCATGATCAAAATGGTCTACACGAATAGCCAAAGACTGACACAATTCACGTCCTCTCTCTAGCTAAAGAAAAACCTCTATATTTTTCTTTTAAAAGCTCCAATCACATTATCCAAAACAATACGTAAAAAAAATAGAAAGAAAAAAAATTCCAAAATGAATACAGGTGAACCACAAAAATAAAAACTGAAATTCAAATACTTAGAAACAATGAACTACATCCCCCATTCATGAACATAATCCACTTCTCTCTTTATCTCCCCCTCTGTCAGACTAAACCAAAACCCTCAATCTCTTTTCAATACTGCAATAACATAACTCAACATAACATGGAATGAAAATCATTTACAACTTAGAACAAAAGAGACTAACTTATGCAACACCACCTAAAACACATAAAAAAAGGAAACAACATTCTCCAAATACACAAAAAAAATAAAATAAGAACAAATGGATTTGCACAGATTCAACGTTCACAATATACAAAATTCAACCTCCACAATATACAAAAAGTAAAAATTTTGTTACACAAAATCCTCAAAGGAAGATACTAAATTATTTACCTTGTGCACAAAGGGCTTTGAAGTCTATACACCAAAGCCCAAAAACAAACAGCAAGGTCTCCTGATCATACACCCAAGCTGGATCTGACAACATAAACAAACTCTCAAAATCACAGAATCAAAATTGAAACAGAAAAGCCATCTGTAAATTCAAAACAACATGCAAAATCACAAATACAAAATTCAAACAAAAAAACCAATGTGGACATTGAAAACCACATAAACAAAATTCGAAACAGCCACACGGAGAAGTCACGAAACTCACCAGAACATGCTAGATTTCGTGGGTAAAAAACCGATCCTGATCGAATCGAAAAATTGATGAAATAGCCGATGAAATCTGTAGCCACCGAGAGGTTTTAAAATCACAAAAATTTGAACACATAAAAGAAAACTCAAAAACAATAAGCTGGAGAACTCACCAGGAAACCCAAGGTTTCTGCAGGATTGACGATTTCCTGAAAACCATGCTTTTCTAGGTTTAAACTTTCTTCCCGAAGGCAACGGATCTAACATTATTTGGAAAGAAAATTCGATCACGAATTGAAAAAAAAAAATTGAGAGAGAGAGAGAGAGAGAGAGACGAACTTGAGCTCGAGAGAGATCGAGAGATCCGTGGAAGCAAATGGAAGATCCCTGATTTTCCATCTTTCTTCCGTTCTTGGATGAGCAACACGTGTATAGCAGGAAGAAAATCCAACGAAAAGGCACACGGATGAGGACGCGTGGGCAACGCTGTGCACAGAGAAACAAAAAGCAGAAAAGCGAACGAAGAAGGCGGAGCAATGAGGGACGCATAGGCAAATGAGGGCAAAACCGCCTTTTTACTGTGAAAAAAAGCATAAAAAATGGCACAGAAAGAAGCATTTGGAGGGCGTTTTCGTCCGCACACTGTCCGTGAACAGTGCACTGGCGTTTGGGTTTTAGTATAGAAATAAATGTCTCATAACCTTTGTGTTGCCACGCTGTGAATTCACTGAATTCTGCGGTATGAAGCGGACGAGAAACATAATTATAACCTAAAAAAATATATACTAGGAGTAAATCTACAAGGGCTAATTAGAAAGAAAACATTATTATATTGGAATACGACATAAGTTGATAAAGGGACCCAAGAGGAGTCCAGCATAGCATAAGATAGTTATATTTTCATAGTACACCAGTGAAATATAACATAATACAAAATATATTAATTGTCCTCGTCATCGCTGCTTAAAATCTCAACGGTAACATTCTGCATATTTCGTGAGCTCAACTGTGGGACAGACAGACCTCTAGGACGAATTTGTGCTTGATAAGTGCGTGGTTCTTCAATAATAACGACAGAATTGGTAGACTGTTCAGTTGTTGTTTCAGCAGAAACCAAATTGACAGGATATTGTTCTGTCCTACCTGGGTTTGCCCATGCTGGCAATACACGTCCTTGAGGTGCGCGTACGCATCCGTTATTGAAGGGTAATGCGTAGCCAAGGCGACCATCAACAAAAGTAGTAAGAATGTACTGATTATTAAAAGGACGAGGCATGCGCCCGGCATTAACAGGTTGTCGTGGACGTTGAACTGGAGGATTCGTTGTGGAATTTTCTGTTGTAATGTTGGAAGCAATATACGAATGTGATGCTGGAGATTCAGTTCCAATTCTAACTCCACGACGTCGCCTGTCCGCCATTGTCAATGATGTAGAACTTGCTCAAATTCAAAAGAAACATATGTGTATGAAGCAACCTTCTTAATTTCCATATACAAATTAGTAAGGGAGTGTGTGGACGTTTTATAGTAGAATAAAGGCACAAATCCATAATTGTGCCAACATATTCTTTTGCTATAGAGTATTTATTATTTATTAATATTTACTGGACACAATTTCTAACATTTGTGTCAGAAAAGAGGAATTTATAATTATTAAAATATATTCTCTATTTGAAGACCCAATGAGAAGTAGAGTGATTTATTATTTATTAATATTTAGTGGACACAATTTCTATCATTAGTGTCATAAAAAGGAATCTACAATTATTAACTCATTTGTCTATCTGAAGACCAACTAACTTTTGCACAGAGACCAACCCTAAGGGCACAATTGTTGGTTATGTGTCACTGCAGGTAGGACTTTAAAACCAAAAACCATATCACCAAGTATAAAAAACAAACATGCAAGAAGATAACAATCCAAAAAGCAATTCAAAAAGATACGAATCTAACAAACATTCATTGCACCTGTAAATGATCCTTTGTAAATCTAAAACATGCCACTTAGTACTATGGTGTAGTGGTATTCTTCTTTACTTGTAAGTGAGAGATCTGAGGTTCAGCTTTCGGGAAAAACAAATTTGAACAACATTATTGCTAACTTATTTTGAGGCTAAAATATTGCACGGTAATAAACAGCTTCATACCATTATTTACCACAATTTTATAAATTTTAATTATTGGTGTGCTAGTGGAGGTGAAGACAAACGAGAGAGAACATATAGTGCCTTTGACAAATAATTTTTATAGACACAAAATATTTTTTGTGCCCATTTTCAGTAAAAAAGTTGTCATGTGATCCCACTCGACACGATTTCCGTGCCCATTACTGTTTTGTGTCTGCTTTTTTTAACATTGGGCACAATAGATGGTGCCCTCTATGGAATGGGAATTGTTTAAGCTTTTTGGTGGTCAAACTGACACAAAATTCTCAATTGTGCCCTTTATTTTGTACCCAAAGCTCATTTTTCTTGTAGTGTCATACTGGTAAGTGGGCATAACGTGCAAAACCTCTCTCAAAATAAAAACTATCACTCCACGTGAAGGACAACCTGATACACATGGGATATTTTTCAATGTGCCCGGATATTACAGGTACATTGAAAAATCTCAACACGACCCGATACACCAAATAACATAGTACAAGTGGTTAGATGTTTGAATACTTGAGGTCCATGCGCATACTGCTACACACCTCTACGTTAAGGACTCCCCATCACCCAGTCCTCTAATGTGTTCATCCATCCATTCATCATATCTCGATTGCTCCGTGTTAAGCATGTGGCTTGTGTTAAGATCAAATTTTTCAATGTGCTAAAAATACAGATTAGTACGTCATATGTCATAATACAAATGGTTAAACACTAATAACTTTAAGGTCCATGCGCATACAGCCCATCACGCAGTCCTCAATTTTGTTCATCGATCCATTCATCATGTCGCGACTACTCCACGCTAGTCATGTGGTTTGTGCATGTTTCGATCAACAAGAAACGATAATAGTTTACACCACAAAAGTCAGGCATAAATAATGAGAAAATCAATAATAGTTTACACCACAAAGTCAGGCAAAGATAGTGAGAAAACAATAATAAAATTAGCTTTCTCACTTGAATCATGCATTCATACCATTTTTATATATTAACTGGCAACGGTCTAATCTTCGGTCCCAAAAATAAAATAGAAGTCACATTATATATGTATGTATGTATGTATGTATGTATGTATGTATGTATGTATTATATAGAGGTTAGGATCCGCAGCCACATATTTTGTTGGGCCCACTTTATAATGTATTTCAACGATCTAAAACGTTTGTATTTAGGTCTTCCCTCAAATATGATCATGTATTACCAAAAATCACCAAAATCCGAAATAATATAACCATTGTTGCTGTCATATTTGGAATAGGAATGTGATTATGTAAATCGTAGTGTATCTAGGAATATCTTTTATATTCCTTTTAGTAGTCTAATTCCTATTAGAGTTGTAATCCTCAAAGGGTAAGGATTTTACCTATCCTACTACTATGAATAAAGGCACAATGGGGTGATACAACACACACCTCTCAATTAAATCTCTCTCTTCTCTTTCTCACTACCGCCGGCCTCCCTCTCTCTATTCTATTGAATTAATTAAAAGTGACATGCAGTCCATTAATCTTATAATTAATCCAAAATTATTGACCTAAAGATCACTGGACATTATCGATTCAATAACTTATTTTTATACTTTGAACCGCTAACATCCTTTCGTAGTCCTGAATTTCTCACACTTGAATTCCCAAAGAAACTCAAATCCACTACACTTTAATTAGCATATTGCATTCTGTGTTTCTTGTAGGAACCTCTCCTTTATGAACTAATCATTCATAAAACTAAATTGAACCTGTAGTTTCATATTTAGTGCCTTTGAAGCCTGAAGTTTTCATTCAAAATTTACCACATGAAACCTGTAGCTTTCATGCATAAATTAAACCAATACATGCTTATAGATCCCAAATGTTCTATAATGTATGTTTATGGATTACCATATGACTAACTACGTTTTGTTGTACCCTTTGATTTAGGGACATGTCGAACTTGAACAACCTCGATTTCACTGCTTTGGAAGTATCTGGAGGAAACTACCTAAAGTGGGTTCAAGGCGTGAAGCTCCATCTTATTGCAAAGGGTATTAGAACCATCATCGAGGAGCTTACCGATGACAAACCTGTCAACAAAGCTCAAAAAGCTACTACAATGATCTTCATTCGAATACATATCCATGATGCACTGCAAACCGAGTACCTCACTGAGGAGGACCCACGTACCCTCTGGCTTGCTTTGATCGAGCGTTTCGATCACTAGAAAGACATCTACGTGCCTGAAGCAAGACACGACTGGCAGCATCTTCGCGTCTAAGACTTTAAGTCTGTGAATGAATACAACTCTGAAGTTTGTAGAATCTGATCACTGCTCAAGTTCTGTAAAATGGAACTAACCGAATCAGATCTCTTGGAGAAGACCTATTCGACCTTCCATGCCAGCAATATTGTCCTACAACAACAATATAGGGCACAGAAGTTCACCAAATTTTTGGATTTGAGTCACTGTTTTACTTCTCATTGAAAAGCAGAACCAGCTTTTGATGAAAAATCATCAAGCTTGACCCACTAGGCTCGAACGCCGTGCTTAAAGCGCATGCGACCAATTTCAGCAACCACAAATAACACAACAATTGTCATGGCCATGGAATTGGGTGGCAAGCCCCACCACAGGCCCAAGGTAACAGAATCAAGGCCTACCCAAAGGAGGAAACATGACCCAAAAGTACCAACCTCTTGCCCTTAAGGCCCTAAACTTTAAGAACAAAGGACAAGCTACCGCTGTGGATCAAGGGATCATTGGTCACGAGTATGCCGAGCTACCCCCGAGGCTATTGCCAAGTATCATTCTCCTCGTGATTCTAACTTTGCACATATGGAACATCTGGAAGATGCTACTACATCCAAGGAGATATAAGATTTTCAAGAGGCATCAGCTCCTATGGAAGAATAAATTTTAGACATGTTTCTAGGGTAGTTTACCCCTAGTGGCCGGACCCCCCTCTAGTTTCTAGGTTTATAGTTTAATTTTGGACAATTTTTCTATGTACTTGGAATAATTTGTTTGATTTTGGTTTGTTTTGAACTATGGATTGTTATTTTATGGATATTATTTCTCAAATTGATTAATTAAATGAATGGAATTATATTTATACATGTGACCAATTCAATCAATTTATTTCTAGGTATATGTCTAGTGGGGAAGTTAGTTGTCTGGCTGATAGTGCTACCACGCACACCATATTGT